AGTAGTGGACTGGAAACCAGGAGACTTCGGTTCTAGTCCAGTCTAGTCTAGTTCTTAAATGAGGATTTAGTTTTCAAAATATTTTGGCAAATCTATTTCAATAAAATTGGTTTCCAATAGAATCTTATATATTTAATTTAAAAACATTCTGAGCAGGAGTTTATGTTTCAACAGATTGTCCAAAGGGTCCATGACCAAAAAAAATTAGAACTCAAAGTCTGCCACTAACTTTTGATGTGACTTTTAACACATCACTTAATTTCCTTCAGCTTTCCCTTCCCTGCTTATCTACAAAGTGAAGGTACTGGACTTGAGTTTCCTTTTAGCCCTAACATTCAGTCACTCAACAATCAAGAAAGAGGTTTTCTAAGGTGGAGAGCTGGCCCATACTTCAGCACCATGGACAATGCTGGTGGGAACAGGGGTGGTGGGAGCAATTACAGCTTGGTTCCAGGGCACAGAAATTTAAAGTACACAAGTTTAAGATGATGGCTTTAGAAGACTGGAATTAAAAAAAAAATTCCTACCTTTGTTGCCCTTGCACTTCTTTAATAGCACAGGACCAACTTAACTTATCACCTAGTTAATAAGAATAATTTATTAAGATTAGGAGTTGCCCTTCCCTGACTCAGAGGCTGAGCCCCAGATGAATGACTCCCTGTCTATTCCTGCTGTGCTTCTTCTCAAGATCATCTCTCTAGCAGTGACCTCATGGTTTTCTATTTCTCTGTGTTACTCCAGTGAGGTTGGTGTTTAACTTTCTCATAGAATGTAGAGTTTGATGCTTTCCTGACTGTTTAACTAAATTTATCTTAATAGCTTCTAATACTATTTTCACATCATAACTAACTAGCATTTATTGCATTTGTATAGTATTTTTAGATGTGAAAGATGCTTTACAAATATCTCTTTTTAACCCCATAACTGCCTTAGGATGTAGATGGGAAAACAGAGGCAAAATTTAAATGATTTGCCTAGTGTCACACAGCCAGTAAATATCTGAGGCAGAATTTGAACTCAAGGCTTCCTGATTCTAGGTCTAGTGCATTACTGACTGAGTTGCCTAGCTACCTCATGAATTATAGAGGTAATATGAGGGTATATTTTGTGCTGCTTTTCTCAAGCACATTTTGTGTTGCTTGCCCTGGGCACTAAAATTGCTAGTTATGACTCTGACTGAGGGCACTTAGTATATTGCTGGTACTAAAGAAAACATATGTATTTGACTAGGGAAGCACTCAGCAATACTTATGGTTATTACTGTGACTTACCAGAAAGCCACATTTGAATCTTGCTGCTATTTATAGTTTCCAAGTTTGTTGAATAATATTCCCTTAAAATCTTTAAGTTAAAGACATTAAACATTTATGGTACCTGAGCTGACAAATATCGAATGTGACTTAGAGGCTTTGAAGACTAAGCATTGTGAGCAGTTTAGTGTTGTAATCAGTAAAATGTAATATAGTATGTCTGGAATATTTAACAACAGTCATAATTTTGATATTTGAGAAATCTTGAAGAAAATTCTTAAGGCTGTAAACAGGCAAATATTGTCTTGATTGTGAGGAAAAAGAGAGAAGATGGATTATTAAGACTATAAGGTGGTGAACTTGACTTTGATTCCTAGAAAAATTCTAGAATTGTTATTAGAGGGATGCTTTGTGAGGATCTAGAAAGAGAAGACAGTTGGGTATTAAGATTCAGGTATGTTGATTCCATTCATATCATCATCATTATCATCTTTATCATTTAAAATTTAACAACAGGATTACTTGTTGGTAAATAAGAGGAATTCTATAGAAACAGTGTACCTGGATTTCAATAAGAGATTTGACAAATTCTATCATGTAGAATCTCCTTCCTCTGACATATAGTTGACATACAGTCAACAACTACCCCATAGGTGTAGAGGGCTACCTCGGACACCAAAAAGTCAAGTGACTTGTCCAAGGTCAGATGCTAGTATGTATCCGAGCCAGAGACTGAACCAGGTCTTTGGGACTCCAATGATGACTTTCAATATTGTACACATACTGACTTAACCCCCACCCCCAAATTAACAATATCTATTATATTGTATATTTGTTTCATTAAACATTTCCTAATAACATTTTATTCTGATTTGAGCACAGCCATTCTACTATATACCACAGGATACTTTTTCTTTATAGTTGACTTGAAATTCCACTAATTAGAAATTCATTTGGATTAGCAAGTAAACCTGACAAGGTAAAGGAAAGGGGCTAGCAGTCATCTATATTTTACTGTAGATCACAGAATACTCTTTTTTAGGACATCATTACAGATTTTTTGGCAAATGGAGTGGTCCTTAAATACTGAGCTGAAAACTTCTGAAGGGAAAAAGAATAAGACCTTTGAAGTGAGGCTTTATGAAAGCTTCTAACTATGACAATTTTATACACATTTTCCAAAGTGTGGTAAAGCCACAATGTTATGTGTATATACAGTCTTTGCTTTCTATTTTTTATTTTTTAAACTAGCCACATTCCATAATTAATTTCATTCAAGTATGTGCATTGGAAGGGAGGATGTGATTATTTAATTCAAGTAAGCAGGGGATGACTTCTTCAGCCCTCTAAGAATAAAGAAACTATTGGATAACTGTTCCAGGAAAGAAGATTCTGGTTCTCAAAGGCTAGGGGTGTTGTCTTCCTCTGTTAACATGAGTGGTTAGAGAAAAGTAAATGGTGCACATAAGCTTTTACAAGTATTCAAAAGCTTCAAGTTAGAGAAGGAGAATAGTCCAATTGAGGAAAACTGTATAAAAAGGTTATGATTATTTCATACTATACTTGGTGCAGCTAGGTGAGCACAGTGGATTGAGCACCCAGCCTAGAGTCAGGAAGACCTAAATTCAAATTTAGCTTCAGACACTTAGTAATTGTGGGAAACTGGGCAAGTCACAACCTCTATTTACCTCTTTTCCCACAACTGTTAAATGAGGATAATAATAGGCATCTACCTCTTAGGGTTATTGTGAAGATCAAATGAGATAATAATTGTAAAGTGCTTAGCCCCTTCCTGGCACATAGTAAATACTATATAAATGTTAGCTATTACTACTGCTACTACTACTACTACTACTACTACTACTACTACTACTGCTATTACTGCTGCTGCTGCTGCTACTACTATTACTACTACTACTACTACTACTACTACTACTACTACTACTACTACTACTGAAAATAAAGTATTCAGTCTCCACTCCTGTGCTGGATATAAGAGTTTGATATTGCTGTTACATACTTGTGTAACCTTGGGAATGACATTTAATCTCCTTAGAACTCAGTTTCTTCATCTATAAAATAAAGGTATGACTTGATAATTCCAGAGGTCCCTTCCAGCTCTGTCTTTTATATATTTTTTAAAGTAGGTGCAATTTATTTTTCTATAAAAATTAAATTTGTTTTTTAAATGAACAAAAATCAATTTTCTCTTTTTTCTTACCTCTCTCCAGGGGAAAAAAGAAAAACAAAATCATTGTGCCAAATGTTCATAATCAAGCAAAACATACTCATGAATTGGCTATATCCAAAAAAAAATACATTTCATTCTCCAACTTGCGATAATTGCCCCTCTATTAGGAGGTAGGTATCATGCTTTATAATTAGTCCTCTGGAATCACAGTTAGTCATTACATTGATCAGAGTTCTTAAGTCTTTCAAAATGGTTTGTTTTTACAATGTAGTTATTATTGAATAAATTATTCTTCTATGAGGTAGGTACTATTATTATCCTCATTTTTCAGATGAGGAAACTGAGGTAAACAGAAATTAAGTGACTTTCCTAGAATCACACAGGTACTAAGTGTCTGAGACTGAATTTGAATTCAGGTCTTTCTTTTCCAAGTTATCTACCAGTCCATAAATTTGTGATTTAATACAAGAGTTCAAAAAATTTTAAACTTAAATTATGTTTTTACAAATGCATAGAAAGAAATAATGCAGCCAAGTTGATTCAACAACCACTGCCATTTACTATTTGCTAAAAATAAAGCAGTGGGGAGATACAAAAATATTAAATTCAACAAATATTTATTAACATCTATTATGTTTAAGAAAGGCAATGTGGCATACTGGGTTTGAGGTCAGGAAGACTTGGGTTCAAACCTTACTTCTTAAATTTGCAGCTCATGTGACCATGGACAAGCTGCTTAGTGTTTCTCTAAGACAAAATGAAAAACAAACTAAGATCTTCGCTAGTGGAGGGATTCTCTACCAATTAGATGACAAGGTCTTAATACATTGATGCATATGTAAGGTGCAAAGTGTTTTGTGCTGTTAAAAAATGTGTTGTCTAGGCATGGTGATGGTATATACATGTGCACATATGTATATATGTTTAGTACACAATAAAATAAACCATTTATATAACAGAGGTACATATAGTGTGCTATGGGAGTGAGAAGCAGAGAGAATTTACAAATGGAACATTTAAGAAGGCTTCATGAAGGAGGTTGTAGTTGAATTGGATCTTGAAGAATGGGTAGGATTTTAACAGACAAAGATGGGGAGGTAGAGAAGCTCAGTATGTAAAGAAAGGAATAAGCAAACTTCAGGGAGATGGAAAAGCAGGGAATGGAAAGGAAGGAACACTGGATTTTGTATCAGATCTGGTTTTAAATCCTTGCTTTGCCACTTACTGCCTGTATAGCCTTGGGAAAATAACTTCACCTCTCTTAGTAACAGCTTCCTAACCTGTAAAATGAAAAGAGATGGTTTAGATGGACTTGCAGTTCTAAATCTAAACCCCTCTGACCCCAATGTTGATTTGTCTGGAGTTTGTGAAAAAGAGTGGTGTGAGATAAAGCTTCCAAAGTTAGAACTACTTCCATTCAAATATAGCATCTGCATATTTAAAACTTCTGCTAGTTTCTAAAATTGAATTAATGATCCATACATATACAGTATTGTCTGGAATATTCAGCTATTGGTTCTCACAAGTTTTTTCTTTCTTCCTTTCTTCCTTTCTCCCAGTTAACAGTTATGGAGAAGATGAAGAACTGTCCACATCTTCTGACAGTGATGAGGAGATGATCAAGCAATTTGAGATCTCTGTATCCCACTCACAGAGCTTCCGTTCTGGAGTACCTGAAAAAGGACCACTAACAAGTTCAGTGAGGAAGTCAAAATTCAACCATTTATGGTCCAGACATGAAGAAAATAATACAGAAGCATCTGAATGTGAAGGTATTTTTGCATTACCTCTTTACTTTTGTCTATAGCAAAGGATGGCCTAAATTATTATTAACTTCTGAGGTAACGTTAGCCATAAAGTTGCTTTAAAATAGTTTGCATTAAAATAACTGAAGAAAGTTACAGAGGAAGAGAGAGAGAGAAAGAAGATACATAGAGTTACAGGAGAAAAAAGGAAATTTTAATTTGGAGAAAAAACTAATATTAGAAACAATTGAGAAAAATGTAAACCTAACTCTCATAACTTTAAATAAAAATGGATTAAATAATCCAATGAAACTAAAAAGAGTGACATATTGGATAAGAAAACAAAATTCTGCACACTGTTGCTTACAAGAAACACACTTAAAAAAGAAAGATATGGGGCAGCTAGGCGGCACAGTGGATAGAGCACTGGTCCTGGAGTCAGGAGGACCTGAGTTCAAATCTGGCCTCAGACACATAACACTAATTAGCTGTGTGACTCTGGGCAAGTCACTTAACCCCAATTGCCTTACCAAAAAAAAGAAAAGAAAGATATACACAGAATAACAAATGAGAGGCTGGAAATTTTTTTAAAATTATGCATCAGGTGAATACCCAAAAGCAAAGGCAGGAGCTGTAGTCATGATACCAGACAAAATGAAAACAAACGTACATAACATGAAAAGAGAAGAAAAAAACTACATTATGTTGAAAGAAATTATAGACAACAATCTAATATCTGTATTAAACTTATATGCTCCAAAATCCCTTATACCTAAATTCATAAGAAAAAAAATAACTGTACTATAAGAAGATATAGACAGTAACACAATAATGGCAGGAAATTCAATGTTTTTCTCTACATTTTGTATAAGTCTAACAAAAAGATGAAGAAGGGAAAATATAAAACTGAACAAATTGCTAGGGAAACTAGAGCTAAAAGACTGATGCCTTCTTCCAAATAACGACTGCTAAAGAATATGCATATTTCTCAGCACCATGTAGAACATTTGCAAAAATTACCTGTGTAGTAGGTGCAGAGATATTGCAAACATATGTGAAAATCAGAAATACATCCCTCATAGATCACAACACAATAAAAATCATAACCAGTACAAGGAGCATAAACAAAAGACACAGAATCCAAAGGGAGACTTTGTGATTAAATCCTAAATAATGAATAAGTCAAAAGACAAATCATAGTAAAAACTAATGACTATGTGAAAAAATGATAATGAGAAAATAACATAACATCATTTCTGTAACACAGCTAAAGTAGTCTTCAAGAGAAAAACTGTATCCCTTTAAACATACATTAACAAAACAAAAAAGAGAGAATTAACGAGATAATACTAGCTTACTATAGCTGCATGAGTACTGAAAGCAATTATTTTCAGATCAAGTAATAGGGAGAGGGCTGGAGGGTCCTCATTAAGTTTCTTCCAGGAGTTGTGGTCCAGAAACTGCCATGTGGCTATGAAAAACTTTGAAATCTATAACCATCAAAACACCTTCAACGGATTTGAGATCTGACCAATGTAAACTCTGTCTCAAATGGTGTAAATGATCCACATTCTTACTCGGGGAAACTCATTCATATCCTTTCTTCAACAGGGAGAACTCAAGGCACCCAATGTGCCTTCTTTTAGGTGTATTAACATTATGTGGCTCCCAGAACTATATACCAGTTCACTATCTATTATTCCTCCTACTCCTGCTACTTCTTTTCTTGGAATGCACCTCTTGGATGGTATCTTTTATTCTATGTATTCCCTGTGTGTAAGACATTGCTAGTAATATGTTTCAGTCTATTTATGTTGACTCCATGTCTTTCCTTTGCTCCTTGGGTGACCTGCAACTATAATTCCTTGGGGATTGTGGTGCTTCATGATTCATAGTCAAATAGAAACAGTAGAATATCAGGATTTAAGATAGGTTTTTGTTTATTAACATGTCTTATATGTTTATAAATATGTCTTAGACCAAAAAAACTTACAACTTGTTCTAAAAATGTGCCTTCTTTTTTCTTATCAGGACTGAGTTCACACTTTCTTTAATTAATTTTTTTTCAAGTTGGGTCTCCCCATTTCTCTGAAGCTGAAAGTGCAAGGGCCACTGATGGGATTGACTCCATGATTGATTGGCAAGTAGCTGGAAATAAAATTATTCTGTGTGAGCTTCTAAAGGCTATATACCAGGGTGGAATTAACTGCATGACTTCCAACTTGCCTTCCAACACTGAGATTCTTTGATTTTAAGAACACGATATACATTTGCCAACATATAACTGTACACAAACACACACACATGCATGCACACACATATACAGAGTGTCTGAAAAGTTTCAGTGCAGTTTAATGCTTAAAAGTGCACTAAAACTCTTGGGACACCACATACATATATACAGACACCACATACATACATATATACATACATGCATACATACATACAACACACATATGTATTTATCTGCACAATTTTTATGTACAATTGTATATAAATGTACATTATATATGTGTGTATATATATATATATATATATATGACACACAGAGAGACAGAAATAGAGAAAGTAAGGAAGGAGTACCTTTTTTTTCTTTTGTAGAAGTACTCATTTACTTTCTCTACTGATCATGAGCTATTATCTGTGGCATTTTATAGATTTTTGTCTCATATTATAGTCTTCAACAGTTAAAAATTAAAATATGAAGATTAGAATTAAAAAATGTCAGTTGGAAGGGAACTCAGGGTCATTTAGTCCCAGCCATCCTGCTACATAAAGCTATAGATGAGAGTACAATTAATCATTCAGAGTAATTTTTTTGTCAAGTATTTTGATTTTTCAAAGAGTTCTTCATTTTTCTGCTTTCTTCTCTGACTACTCCTCCTATGTCCATGGCAGTAGGATAGAACATTACACTCATCTGTCCATTCCAGAATGAAATGAACCCTCTTAAAATGAATCATAATTCTTTCAAGACCAGCTTTCCTTATGATTGATTTTCCAAGAAAACCATCCTGGTTCTCTAATCTCTGAGAGAGGAGTCTGGTATATAATATAAATTAGAGCCAGTGTTACAATAAACATTTGAGGGCCCAATGTGTTCAAGGTGCCATGTTAGACTGGAAATACAAAGCTGAAAAATGAAATAATTCTTACCCTCAGGGAGCTTCTTAGAGGAGTTAGAGGAATATAGGAATGTTGTTTTTTTCCCCCTGGTTTGTTGAATTTAGGTCAGGTTTTATTCAGAGTAAATACTTAATAAATGTGACATCCTACAGTGATCTGTGATTTCATTGGAGTGGGTACTCACTTCATCAATGTTGACTATAATTCCTCTTAATTCCTCTGTCATTTAGTAGCAGGTCTTTGCTATTGTTGAAAAAATCCACTGATTTCCAGTTAATCTCTAAACATAGCTTGACTGATTCTTGAATGACAGGCATGTTGTCAATCACCAGGCCCATAATCAAAGACTTTCCAGCTTGGCAAAGCTTGCTGGGACTTAGGTTTCTTTGACATAACATTGAAGATGTTTAGGACCCCTCCACATAACAATGAGATGGTGGAGTAGAATTTTAATGGAAGAAATGTTGCCAACCATGTGCATTAGGGCAAACTGTTGTATCATCCTCTGATAGGTGCATCCTGGGTTTGCAAGCAAATGGGGTTATGACTTTCAAAAAAAAAGAAACTTTAAAGAAAATGGGTGGAGACAACTTGTTGTTATGGTTAAGACCCTATCCCATGTTATCAACAAATAATACTCAGAAAAAGAATATAGTCAGGAGAAGACTTTGAACATCAGAATGTGGTATCTCTTAAATGCTTTCTGATCTCATCTTCTGATTTACATGTCTGGTTTATCCAATCATTTTTCCTCCATTTTCATTGTCATCATGTTCTCCAGATTTCTCATCATCAGAGAGTGAAAATGAGGATGTAAAGAAAATTGTGCAAAGAGATAAAAAGAAGCAAATCTATTTAATTTTAAAGACATTGTACAAAAAGCAACAGCAAAGGTAGAACAGAAAAAATATGATATTTTCCATCAGAAACACACTAATCTATCACATGGTTCTATGTGGGATATAGACATTTAAAAGTAGCATTGACATTGGCCAAAACAAAATGGATTAAAAAAAACAAACTATTCCCTCTTAGATTTCAAAGATGCAAATGACCAATGATAGCACTGTAATTAATACCTACTTGCCACTTTCTGATTCCTTCTCAGTTTTTCTCTTTCCTCTTTTTTTTCTCCTTCTCCTGCTATTGTGTCATATCTTTCTTTACTTTTCATTGAGGAGGCAAATGTTAGCTAATGAAAGTTAATAGCAGTTGATTTCTTATGAGTGTCTGGTTTAATTCTAAGCTAATGGCTTCCTTTCTCAGAAATCTAAGTGTTTAGTTTCCAATTTACACACATGCTGATATTCTGAGCTTTATGACAATTGGTCTAACTTTCACTTTTCCTGGAATTTGCAGGCAATTTGTCTTTTGTCATAATACAGAGTCAGAGGTTTCTGACAGATCAGGACTATAACAATGATTGAGAAGGTAAAATTTTGGGTGAGAAACAGGCCATCATACTGAGTGGCCTACTTATAGATTTTGGAGAAAATCAGCAGTTTTTTAAGAACAATAACAATATTTCAACAATTTAGAACATTGGACAGTAAATTATGAAATCACCTATATCTTGTCCTTTTTTAAGTGTCATTTTCTTTTGACTTTTTGCCTCAGAGGTTGGTATCAATCATTGGGAGTAGACACTCATACAGAATAAACAGCAGTACCACTATCTTTCCCAGAACTAACCTTTTGTTGTCCTTCTCTTTATTCATATATCTTGTCTTTCAAAATGTAAGTGTAGATTGTGGGGTTGTTTAACAATAGAGATAAACAATGAGAAATCACCCAATTGGCAGCAAAGGGGCTTTCCACTCAGAAGCTGTGAGGTTTCTCTAACTTGTTCCTCCCAGAGAGGTATCAATTTTTATATTTACAAGATCATGGATCTAGAACTGGAAGGGGCCTTACCTTTTGTTGAATTGAGGGTGATTGCATTCCACTTACCTCTTCTATATCCCAGGGTTCAGGTAAAATGCAAAGTGCTTCACACATATCTCATTTTATCCCCACAATAGCCCTATGAGGTAGAACCTATGACTGTTACTATTCTTTTTTCACATTAGTAAATTTAAGCTTAGGATAACTGTTAGAGATTAGTGCTGGCAGAAGCAGGAGAGGATGAATTAAAGACAATAGATAGAAGGATCAGCCTTTGTGAGTAGTAGTCTTTCATGACCCAAAAGAAGGAGGATCAGGCAAAGGAATGGGGAGACTTAGCTGACAGAAGAAAAGACAAGGAGGGTAGCTGAAAATTGTCTCAGAAGTATTGCGAGGTCTGCTACTTGTGAGGAGAATTAGCTTTGTGCTTGGCTCCAGAGCACAGATTTAGGAACAATGGGTCAAAATTAAAAGAGGCATGTTTAGATATTGGATATAATGACACATTTTTCTAGCATGTAGATTCTTCAAAAGTGGTACGAAGTTTTTTCAAGCAAAATATGGACAATCCATTTTTGACTATGTTGTAGAGGGATATGTATGGATTTATATTCAGATAGACAGTCTCTGTGGTCTCTTCCAGCTGTAAATCTTTGATTCTATGACAACTCTAACTCATTCTGTGGTTCTGAGAGGGTGATGATTCTGAGAAGATTGTAGTGATGGAGGAGACCTGAGGAAGTTCGTTGGATAATCTCAATCTTCTCTATAATAAAGTAGGAGACCGAGTCATCCACTGTAAGTGTAGAGTCATGGATATGGCCAGTGTTGAGAAGAGAAGAACAAGTTTGAAGCAGTAGCTGTAGGTATGAAAGAGGTGAGGCCATGAGGATTGACTAGAAGGACTACTGAATGCCTAAGGGGTTCAGTGGAGCTTATGAGCTATGAAGTTGTGCTAGGGTAAATCAGTTTGATTTTATAACTTTCATGAGCATTGATAGGCAGCTCTGGAGCAGGAGTGAAATCAGATAGTTAATGTGACTTGGAGACCAGTATTCACAGTTTAGGAGCGCAAGAAATTCTAGAGTTGGTACTATAGAATAATTAAATTGACAGAATTTGTGGTTAAGTCTGGGTATGAAAGCTGACATTATAATTACTGCATCAAGCTTGGGAAACACTGTACCATCTCTGAATGAGAGTTAGACCTAGCTAATCACTGAAAAGAGTTAGACCTAGCTAAATAGGAAAAATAAAATAGATGATGAATGACTCTTCTTGAGACTATGATATGTATTTAGATCATAGGATTTTAAATCTAGAACTTGGAGGCACCTTAGATGTCATCTAGCTCAATTTCTTCAATTTACAGCTGAAGAAACTGAGGTCTAAGAACATTAAGGGACTTGTCCAAGATGAGACAGGTATTGTCAGAGGTAGGATTTGGTGGAAGACGAAATTCTCATCAAAACAAGGAAAATAATTGATTCCAATTATACTTACAAAAACAAGGAAAGTAAGAGGGAAAAAACCAAACTATATAATGGACTCTGGAGCCAGTGGTCTGTCCACTCTCTTGCTTTGCCTCATCATGTGGAGCTGTTTTATTAGTATGTGTATCTTAGATTCTGTAGATGAATAATGAACTGGGCCTAGAATTGAACAGCAGGGGAAGAGTGGGCTGGAATATCTTTGGAAAATTACAAAGTGCTCTTAATGACCCCAATTTTCTCCCTGAAACAAAGGGATACACACACACACACTAATATTTTCTGTATGATTATGCATCTTCCTGAGTTGTTAAAAATTGAAAATTGTTCATCACCCACAGACAGTGGAAAGGTGCATGGTGTGTGAGCAGACTTTCACATATTACTAATGATGAATTACTCAGGACGAGTGACATAAACTATATGAGAGATATATGGTGGATTAGGCACTGGCTGTCAAGTCAGAAGACCTGAGTTCAAATTCTCCATTTGATATTTCCTGCCTGTATGACCTTGGACAAGTCATTTAACCTCACTAGGCATGTTCTGTTTCTGTAAATTGAGGCAGTCAAACTAGATGGCCTTTGTGGTCTTTTTCAACTGTAGAGCTACGATCCTATGATATGTATGGCCAGAAAAAATAGCATGATCTGATTCCATAATAAGAGCATGGGATGGCCAATGGGCAGTTTTCATGTTCTATTGGTATTCATATACTGTGAAAGGATTTGGAAGAAGGCCCTTAGCATATTGGGTGGAACCACTGTGGAGAGTTTATAGGAGGAGATGGACCAAATTTGTATAGAATGAGGTGTGGGTGGAATGCAATTTCACAGGATGAGGAATGTCAGTAACTCCATTGGTGATATACTTGATCCATCCATCAAAGTATTGAAATATTTATATTTAATTTAAGAATGAAAAGATATTGACTAAATGTTTCAGCAAAATCAGTGTCACGTTTCATGTTAAGTGAAGCCTAGGCTGTTTACAAAGCAAATAGAACTGTGGTGGGGTGAGAGGAAACAAATGACTTGTGGACTTAGCACTGACTCTTCCCCATGTCTCACCACTCATTCCTTACCTCTGCCTTTTTAGGATATTGGCTCAAATACCACTTTCTGCATGCTTTCTCTCCTGGTTCCATCAGCTTCTGCATTACCCCAAGCCAAATTTGTATTTACTTTTTATACATATATAATATACACAGACACATACATATATATGTATACACATATGCATTATATCTATATCTATCTATCTATCTATATGTATGTGTACACACACATTTACCCTGATAGAATGTAATCTTTCTGAGGGCAAGAACTGTTTCATTTTTGGGTATTTTTGTGTGCCTAGAACCTAGCATAATGCATGGTATGGATTGACATCTTTGGTCTAGTTCAATGCAATTCAATAAGCATTTATTAAAATAAACCAAAAAGTTTTGGAACTTCTGATGCTGTTAGTTTTTTATAACAAAAATATGCTCCAGATTTCCCAAGATGACTCTATAGAACAAGTATTTTTGCCAATGGGCAATTACCTTTTCATATATTTAAGACTGGAATACATATTTTGATTTAAATAAATGGCCAGAATATTTTCTATGATTGTCAAGAAGGACTTACCATTTCCATTTCTACCTCTTACCACTTGTCATGGTACGGTACATATGTTCTTTCCTAGCAGCCTTCTCTCTTGTATGTCAAGGAAAAGGATTTATAATATTAATATAGCTCTACCATTTTCAGTTATGAATAGCTTTTCAGAGTATACATGGTTTTATAGCCCTTTGGGCATAGTTCCAAATTGCTCTCCAGAATGGTTGAATCAGTATACAACTTCACAAATAGTGCATTAGTATTTTAATTTTCCCACATCCCATCCCACATTTGTCATTTTCCTTTTCTGTCACATTAGCCAAGCTGAGAGGTGTGAGGTGGTAGTTCAGAGTTGTTTTAATTTTTATTTCTCTCATCAAGACTGATTTAGAGCATTTTTTCATATGACTATAGATAACTTTGATTACTTTGTCCAAAAGCTGCCTGTTTATATCCTTTGGCCATTTATCAATTGAGGAATGGTTCTTATTGCTATACATTTGACTCATTTTTCTATATGTTTGAGAAAAGAAGTCTTTATCAGAAAAATTCCCTGTAAAATTTTTTTTCACAACAATCATTACCAACTATATATTTCCCTCCATTCTATTTCCCCCATGTTCATCCTACTTTGCTCTCTCTTTTTACCCTGTCCATTGTCAAAAGTGTTTTGCTTCTGACTTTTACATCCCCCAAACTGCCCTCCTTTTTATCAGCTCCCTCCTTCTCTTATCCTCTTCTTTTCCTACATTCCTATATGGGAAGATAGATTTCTATACCGAACTGAGTGTGTATATCATTCCCTCTTTGAACCAATTCTGATGAGAGTAAGGTTTATGTACTCCCCTCCCCAATTCCTCCATTTTCTCCTCCACTGTCAAATCTCTTTCAGGCCTTTTTTATGTCAGATAATTTGTCCCATTTTATCTCTCCCCTCTTCCTTCTCCCAGTGCATTCTTCTTTCTCATCCTTTAATTTTATTTTTTTTAGATAATTGTACCATAAAATTCAACACATATCTCTGCTTTCTGTTTATGTATACTTCTTCTAACTGCCCCAATGATGAGAAAAGTTTTAGGAGTTATACATAGCATTTTCCCATGTAGTAATATAAACACTTTAACCTTGTCAAACTCCTTATGATTTATCTTTCCTATTTCCTATTTTATGCTTCTTCTGCACCTTGTATTTGAAAGTCAGATTTTCTATTCAGCTCTGGTCTTTTCATCAGGAATGCTTGAAAATCCTCTATTTCATTGAATTTCCATCTTTTCCCCCTGAAGGATTACATTGGTTTTGCTGGGTAGGTGATTCTTGGTTGTAATCCTAGCTCTTTTGCCCTCCCAAATATCATTCATTTTGACTGCTTGCAGTATGGGAGCTGTGTAATTTAGCTATAATATTCCTGGGAGTTTCCATTTTGGGATCTCTTTTAGGAGGTGATTGGTGGATTCTTTCAATTTCTATTTTACCCTCTGGTTCTAAAATATCAGGGCAGTTTTCCTTGATAATTTCTTGAAAGATGATGTCTAGGATCTTTTTTTGATTCTGACTTTTAGGTAGTCCAGTAATTCTTAAATTATCTTTCCTACATCTATTTTCCAGGTCAATTGTTTTTCCAGTTGAGATATTTCACATTTTTTTCTATTTTTTTCATTCTTTTGATTTTATTTGATTGTTTCTTCATGTCTCACAAAGTCATTAACTTTTACTTGCCCAATTCTAACTTTTAAGGAATTATTTTCTTCATTGAGCTTTTGTCCTTTTTTCATTTGTCTAATTCTACTTTTTAAGGAGTTCTCATCAGTGAATTTTTGTATATCTTTTTCCATTTGGCCAATTCTGCTTTTCACAGTATTCTTCTTTTGATTGGGTTTTTGTGCCTTTTTTTTTTTTAACCATGTGGCCTAGTCTCTTTGTTAAGGTGTTATTTTCTTCAGTATTTTTGTGCCTCCTTTACCAAGCTGTTGACTCTTTTTTTCAGAGTTTTCTTGCATCACTCTCATTTCTTTTCCCAATTTTGCCTCTACCTCTCTTACTTGATTTTTAAAATCCTTTTTGAGCTCTTCCGTGGCCCGAGACCAATTCATATTTTTCTTTGCAACTTTAGATGAAGAAATTTTGACTTTGTTGTCCTCTTCTGAGTGTGTTTTGACCTTCCTTATAAACAAAGTAACTATGGTCAGAATTTTTTCTGTTGTTTGCTCATTTTCCAGTCTATTTCTTGACTTTTAACTCTATGCCAAAATGGGGCTCTGCTTCCCAAGTGGATGGGGCACTGTTCCAAGCTTCAGGTTTTTTATGCAGCTGTTTTCAGAGATAATTATGGGGATGTGTAAGTTTTTGGCTCTTCCAAGGTGGTATGATCTAGGGATAGGTGTGTTTACTACTCTCCTTACTATGCATAACACAAGCACTGTTTTTAACCCTGGCACTGTGATCAGGGTCCCTGATCACAGCACCAAGCTCTGCTGTGCTAGTGCTCCTCCTTGCACTGAGACTAAGACCCAGGACTGCAACCCAGATCTAAGTATAAATAATGCGACAGAGTCTGGCCCTGGTGCTAGCAAAGGGACCCTTGTAAATCTCCTTCTGATCCATTGTCTGATCCCTTTACTGTCTGTGGGCTGAGAGGTCTGGAAATAGCCACTTCTGCCACTGTTGATTCAGTGGTTTCTAAGGCTTGCTCAAGGTTTGCTTGGGCCTAACCTGTGATGGTATGCTCCGTAATGGACTGGGCTCCTCTCTCATCCTGGAACAACAGATCTTTCCTGCTGATCTTCTAAGTTGTTTTGGGCTGGAAAATTGTTTCACTCCATCTTTTTGTGGGTTCTGCTGCTCTATAATTTGTTTAGAGTCATTGTTTTAAGGGATTTGGAGGGGTATGGAGGAGAGCTCAGGTGAGTCTCTGCCTTTACTCTGCCATCTTGGCTCTGCCTCCCAAGACTTTAAGTTTTATTTAATATTAAACTAAAACTTTTGGGACATCCTGGATATCTTGGATTTTTGCATATGTGTTCCCCTCTATTTTCCTTTTTTAAAAATAAGAGTAAAAATCATCCTTTGTGGCCATTATTCTAATCATCTTACCACATGAAATGAAATGTATTTGTAAAAAAAATTTAATGAGAATTTATAGAAATGATTCTAGGAGGTATGACCTAAGGCAACATAAGTAACAAAACAACCACCCAATTGAAAAAAAAAATCAAAGTAACTCTGAATTTTTGCTTAAACAATAGGTATTTATTGTTCTTGAGAGACAGCTTGGAATAGTGGAGAGAAGACCAGTATTTTAGTGACAGATATCAAAGGTCAAGTCCTGCTTCTGATATGTACTAGTTGTATAGCCTAGGGGAAGTCATTTTATCCCTCTTATTACCCCAGAGAACTTTCTATGACTGTAAGTTACAAACAAGTCATCGACATTCACGCGGTTGCCAATGTGTTTGAGTGGAGGGAAGGAGTTTCTACACCAAGAAGTTCCCTAGACATACACAAGAAGTCACACATCTCTACAAACTCCCTGCTTGACAGTGTCTAGATGCTGTGCAAAATACAGAAGTGTGAAACAATCTCTGACCTGAAGAAACCTAAATAGAGATACAAGGTACATGGATCACAAGAAAACATAATAATATAGGAAAACATTTAATTAAATGAAAAATTATATGACATAGATTATAGGAGTATTTGGATGAGATCAGAATAGGAGCTCAATGACAGAAGTAGAAAGGTTTGGAAAAATGAATAATCAGCCAACTAGCATTTATTAAGTGCCGATATGTGCCAGGCACTGTGCTAAGAGCTTAGGATAGAAAGAAAGGCAAAAACAAAACCAAAAAGTGAAAATAAAATAAAACAATCTTTTCTTTCAAAAAGTTCACAGTCTAATGGGGGAGACAATATGCATATAACTATGTAAAAAATAAACTATTTACAGGATAAATTGGGTGTAGTTTCAGAGGAAAAGCACTAAGATTAAAGGGGCTTAGTTAAGCTTTTTTTCTTTCTTTTTTTTAATATGTTGGTTTATTTCTGGAGAATTTTTTTCCTTCCTCTTTTTTGTTTTTTCCTAAAATGGATAGTTATCTGGGACAGGCTAGGGAAAGGATGAAGTGGAAATTATAAGTGATATAAAAACAAAGGGTAATAATATATATGTATATATATATAGAAATATACACACATATAAATGTATTTATTTATTTTTAATTTTCAACATTCACTTCCATAAGATTTTGAGTTCAAAATTTTCTCCCCATCTCTCCCCTCCCCTACCCCAACAGGGCATGTAAACTGATGTAGGCTCAACTTATACATTCATATTAAACCTATTTTCACATTAGTCATGTTATAAAGAAGAATTAGAACCAATGGGAGGAACCACGAGAAAGAAGAAATAAAAAAATAGAGAGGGCAAATAATATTCTTCAATCTGCATTCAGACTCCATAGTTCTTTTTCTGGAGGTCGACAACATTTTGCATCATGAATCTTTTGGAGTTATCTTGGATCCTTGCATTGCTAAGAAGAGATGTCTATCAAAGTTAGTCACTGCATAATGTGACTGTTACTATGTACTATGTTTTCTTGGTTCTACTTACTTCACTCAGCATCAGCTCATATAAGTCTTTCCAGGTTTTTCTGGAGTCTACTTGTTCATCATTTCTTATAGCACAATAAAATTCCATTACATTCATACACTACAACTTGTTCAGCCTTTCCCCAACTGATGGGCATCCCCTCAATTTCTAATTCTTTGCTGGTTAAGCCTTTTTGCAGAAGATATGACTTTAGCAGAGACTTGAAGGAAATGAGGAAGCAGAGATGAACATGAAGAATTCCAAGTATAGGGGATAGCAAGGGAAAATGCCTGGAGTTCATAGATGGAGTGTGTGATGAATAACAAGGAAGCCAGTGTCACTGGATCACAGAGTATATGGAGGGTATAAAAAGTCTTAAAAGGTAGGAAGAGGTCAGGTTATGAAAGGTTTTTTTCCCTTTCATTTCATTTTAAAAAGAATTAATGTTATTTTTTTCTGAATTACATATAAAATATTTTTTAAGATTTGTTTTCTTAAAATTTTGAATTCCAAATGCTCTCCCTCCCTCCCCTTCTCCCCTCTTTGAGAAGATAGTCAATTTGATATAAATTATACATGTGCAATCATGCAAAACATTTCCATGTTAGCCATGTTGCAAAATAAAACACAGACAATCCCACTCCAGAAAAATAAAGAAAAAAATTAAAAGTATGCTTCACTTTAATCTGCAATCAGATACCATCCATTTTTTCACTGGAGATGGATAACATTTTCCATCATAAGTCCTTTAGAATTGTCTTGAATTATTGTATTGCTGAAAATAGCTGTCATGCACAGTTGATCCTCATACAATATTGCTATTACTGGGTACATTGTTCTCCTGGTTCTGCTCATCTCACTTTGCATCAGTTCCTGTAATTCTTCCTAGGTTTTTAAAAATGATTCTCCTCATCATTTCTCATAGCACAACAGTATTCCATCTCAACTTGTTCAGTCACTCCTTGATTGATGGACATCCTCTCAATTTTCAATTCTTTACCCCTGCACAAGAGCCACTATAAATATTTTTGTATGTAGAGGTCCTTTTCCTTTTTCTTTGATCTCTTTGAGATTCAGAAATAGTAGTGGTATTGCTGGGTAAAAAGGTATGCACAGCTTTATATAGTGCTTTGGAAATAATTCCAAATTACTCTCTAGAATGTTTGAACTAGTCCACAATTCTACCAACAGTGCATTAGTGTACCTATTTTCCCATATCATTTCCAACATTTGTTATAGTCCTTTTCTGTCAAGATAGCAAATCTGATTGTACTTCAGAGTTGTTTCAATTTACATTTCTCTAATCAACAGTGATTTAGAATGTTTTTCATATTACTATAGACAGCTTTGATTTCTTCTTCTGAAAACTGCCTGTTCATATCTTCTGACCATTTATAAATAGAATGACTTGTATTCTTTTAAATTTGACTCAGTTTTCTATATATTTGATAAATGAGGCTTTATTAAAGGAGGATAGGGAGACAACCAGCAGGCTGTAGTAACAATTCACGCACGAAGTGATAAGGGTTTGTACCAGAGTGGTTGCTGTGTTAGAAAAGAGAAGGGGACATATACTAGAGAAGTTATGAAGGTAGAAATGACAGGACTTAGCAACTAATTGGACTTGGGAGGTGAAAGAGAGGAATCAAGATGATCCCTAGGTTACAAGTCTGGTGACTAGGAGGATGATGGTAACCTTTCTAGCTTTCTAGATCTCTTCTTATGGGTAGCTTTGAGTATATGAAAAGAGAGGTAGTTGATAGTCTCTGGATTCATTCAAAGAATAGTTTTTATGCATTTCTAATAGTTTAAAATAAACATATATTCTATGGATAAAATTATACCTCTTTGGGACATATGCTATGATAGGGATCTTTGTGATGGAACTGAGACTTCTCTATTACACTAAAAGAATCTTATTTTAAATTTTTGATTAATAATCCCATTAGACAGTTAAATTTTCTCCTTGAGCTTAGATTATTTTTAATGTTGACAAATCACTAATTTTCCCATTATCACATTTGGTTCATATAGGTGGGATTGGCAGGATCTGAGCTAAAGAGATATATGTATTTGTCAACATCTTTGCTAATTTCTCCTGGATAAACAATGTATCAAAAGAAATAAAATGAATTTTTAATGCTTTTGAAATTATCTTCTTATTTCAGATTTAGACTTGGATGGATTAAGTCAACCAAGCTGCCTAGATAATGTCTCTTATGGTGAAGATGATCATATTTCTGTGGATTCAAGGACTGCATCTGAGAGTAGAGATGTTGGAGAGCAAAGAGCCAGTAAACATGAAGCCATCTTGACTCATAGCCTTGGTGTGCAAGCCACAGGAAGAAGTCTGGAAATAGAGACATCCTTCAGCAACCTAGGCTTTGAAGAACCTTATTCCACTGACACTTCTTCAGCCTGGAGCCCAGAGGCAAGTTATCAATTTTAACAACATCTCATTGATATTTTCTGTTTCTTACATCACCATAGTATCTTATGTATCTCTTCTTTTCCCCTTCCTGAGAGCCATCCCATATTACAAATATAATTTTTTTAGAGGAAAAAAAGTCAGCACAGCTTATTGATTCATTGAATAAGTTCAAGAACATGTACAATATGTAACACCTATGGACCTCCCAAATCTACAAAGGGATGTCTTTTCATGTCTCTTCCTTTGAGTCCCACTTTATCACTATAATTTTGCTTCATTTACTTTTGAATTTTTGATTTGTGGTTATTCCTTCCATTTACATTGTTGCAGTTACAGTGTATATTGTTTTCTTGGCTCTATTTCAGTCTTCATCAGTTCATATAGATCTTCCTATGTTTCTCTGTATTCATCACACACATCATTTTTTACATTCATGTACCACAATTTGTTTAGCCATTCCCCAGTTGATGAACATCTACTTTGATTCCAATTCTTAGCTATTACGAAAAGGGTTGCTATAAATATTTTGGTGTATGAGGGAGCTTTTTTCTTATTGATGGCTTTCTTGGCATATAAACCCAGTAATGGAGTCTCTGATTCAAAGGGTGACATTTTAGTTACTTTATTTGCATAATTCCCAATTGCTTTCCAAGATAGATACACCATTTCATAGCTCCACAAACAATGTAGTAGAGTGCCTCTCTTCTCACAAACCCTCCAAAATTAACTGTTGCCATTTTGGACATTTTTTTCCCTAATTTTAAGATTATGAGGTGAATCCTTAGTATTATTTTGATTTGCTTTCTCTTATTATTAGTGATTTGGATCATTCTTTCATGTGGTTGTGAGTACTTTAAAGTTCTCTTGAGAACTATTAATATTTTTTGAACATTTATTCTTTGGGGGAATGGCTATTAGTCATAGATATATTACATATGTATTTGCATAATACCAAACCCTTATCAGAGAAATTTGACAAAAGGATTCTACCCCCCCCAATTTGACCATTTCCTTTCCTTTTCTGGATACATTAATGTTGTCTTTAAAGAAAATTTCAGTTTTAAGTAATCAAAGTTATCTGTTTTATCTTCTGAAATTACCTTTTACTCTTGTTTAGTTAAGAATATATCTACTACCCATAGCAATAGAAGTATGTGATGTATTTCTCTTCTAACTTTTAACAGTATGCTCTTTAATAATAAGGTCACATATCTACTTAGAATGTATTGTGGAGTGTGGTATAAGATTTTGGTCTAAGCCTAATTTCTTCCAGACTGCTTTCCAGTTTTCTCAGCAGTTTTTATCAAATAGGGAGTTTTCCCCTACATAACTTATGTTTTCCACTTTATCAAACACTAGGTTATTGAATTCTATCATTTCTGAGTCTCCCTTATCTAGTTAGTTCCATTGATCTCGACTCTATTCTTTAATCATAAAGATGATTTTGATGACTACTGCTTTATAATATAGTTTAAGTGTGTAAGTGGTATCACACCTTTGTCCTTACTTCATCATTTCTCTTGATATTTTAGACAAAATAATAACAAAATTAAATTCATTTGGAAAAAACAAAAGATCCAAAGTTAGGTTGTTCTTTATTTCTATAGTGAGAGTTTTATGCTTTATACAAGTCTTTTTATGTACTTTGGGAGGTTTAGCCCCAGATATTTTGTAATTATTAGGAATGGTATTTCCCTTTCTACTATTGCTTCTTGTTTTTTACTATTATATAGAAATGCTGTTGATTTTTGAAGATTTATTTTGTAGCCTAAGCTTTGCTGAAGCTATTTTCTTAATTAGCATCTTTGCTGATTCTTTGGGATTTGCCAAGGAAACCATTATATCATCAGCAAATAGTTTTATCTCTTCTTTATCTTTATTCCTTTAATTACTTTCTCTTGTCTTATTGCTAGCATTCCTGAACTGTATTAAATAATAGTGGGGAGACTAAGTATACTTGTTTAACTCCCATATTTATTGGAAAAGGTTCTAGTGTATCCCCATTGCATATGATAGTTGCTTTTCATTTTAGATAAATGCTTTTTACAAATTCAGCAAAAGGTCACTCTATGCCTATACTTTGGAGGGTTTTTAGCATAAAAGAGTGTTGTACTTTGTCAAAGACTTTTTCTATATTTGTTTAGATAATAACGTACTGTAGATGTTTTGGTTTTAATATGATTGTGTTTATTCTTTTCCTAATGTTGAACCATCCTTGCATGCTTGGTGTAAATCCCCTTGATCATAAGTAATGATTTATTGGACAAATCACTGTAGTCTAAGAGGATTTTGTTTAAAATTTTTGAATCATTGTTCATTAGTGATGTTGACTTATAGTGTCCTTTCTATGTTTTACCTTTCATTGGTTTAGGTATTAGGACTACATTTCTCTCATAAAAGGATTCTGTTAGGGTGCTTTCTCTCTCAATTTTTAGAATCATTTGTGTACTTTGGTTACTGTTGCTTAAAAGTATGATAAAATTCTCCTGTGAATCCATAGGGTTCAGGAGTTTTTTTCTTTGATAGTTCCTCTACAGCTAGATTTATTTCCTTTTCTAAGATTGGGTTACTTAAACCCTCTTTTCTTTCTTTTTTTTTTTGGCTAGGCAATGGGGTTAAGTGACTTGCCCAGGGTCATACAGCTAATAAGTACTATGTGTCTGAGGTCAGATTTGAACTCAGGTCCTCCTGAATCCAGGGCTGGTGCTCTATCCACTGCGCCACCTAGCTGCCCAAGTCCTCCATCTTGTTTTCTGATAGTTTGGGTATTTTATATTTTTGAAAGCATGCCTCTATTTCTTTTGTGTTCTCAGTTTTGTTAGCATATAATTGAGCATATGTTCTAATTATTCTTTTTATTTCTACTGGTTTTGCTATGATTTCACCTTGCTCATTTGCTAATTTATTGATTTGATTTTCTGATTTCTTTTGTTTAGTCAGATTAGCAAAGGGTTTATCAATTTTATCAGTCTTTTCCAAAAGGAAAAATAGGTCTATTTAAAAGAGATAATCAGGGAAACTACATTTTGATGAAAAGTACTATAAAGAGGATTCTGGGAAGATGTCAGAGTAGGTCAGAAAATATCAAATTCTCCAGATTTCTCCCACAAAGAAGAAAAAATAGTGCCTCAGGACAAACATAGGGTGGTAAAAATAACAAGAGTTGGGTCAGAATAGTGGCCATCTTGGGACAAGAGGGAGAAGATTCAAAGTTTGATGTCTATGAAATGTTAAACACCTCCAGGCCAGTTCTGCTGAAACAGCAAGTGGCAAGCCCTGGGCCTAGCTGTGTTGGGAGGTAACTCTGGCTTCAGACACAGGAATTTTCACCTCCTGGACAGTGTGGAGAGTCAGGCATCTGAGCAGGGGAATAATGAGGGAAACTCTGCGAATAAGGGACTCCAGGCCCCGTGGTCCTATGGAGATGCACCCCTGAGCTAGAAGGAACCAGCACATGCCCTGTGAGTGCAGAAGCAGTGGGGCAGGGATGCTACTTACTGTGGGCACTTATAGGAGGGAGGAGTTCTTGGTTTTGGTTCCAGGCTAGAGGGGAAAACTGAAGGAGAATCTGAGCCCAAAGATAATATCCTCCATATCCCAGGACTAGAGGTGATCACAATAACAAGCTGCTATTAAAAAAAAAAAAGATCAGGCAAAAGAGAAAGAACCTAACCATAGAAAGTTATGATGGGAATAGAGAAGAGTGGGGTTTGTCTTCAGAGGAAGATTCAGAAACAAAAAAGGCCTCTCCTGCTCCAACAAGTAATGTCAAATGGTCACCTGCCCAAAAATAATTCATAGAAGAACTTAAAAAAGACTTTAAAAATCAAATGAGAGAGATTGAGGAAAAAATTTTAAAAATAAGAATAATCCAAGAAAAACAAGATTATGAAAACAAAGTCAACCAACTAGAAAAGGAGATCCAGAATCTTAAGGAACAAAATGACTATTATGACTTTTAGGATTTTGTTGCAAAAAGACCTGAAGTCAATAGCAAATTTGACATACAAGATCCAAAAGAAATATAAAGTACACATCAAAGACTAATGCAAGGGACTCAGTGAGAATAGATCGTTTGCTTTTTATACAACAAAATGTAAGTCGAATGTCTAAGATTGTTATTAGTGATTGGGTTGTGCAAAAGAAAGATTGGAGTAGAGCTGAGTATGATGTGATATTAAAAAGGATTTCAGGTGGCCCACAAAAAATGTAGAGGATGTAAAACAGACCTACACAACATGCCACTAATGGGTCACTTTGGCAGGCCACACATTGGGCAAGCCTGGTCTGGGAAAAGGTAAACAGAGTATTATACAAATGAGTTGTGAGAGGAAGAAGACACAGAGGAATTAGATGGAGGAGGAGGGCTGGTAATTCTGAAACCCTACTCTGATTGGGAGTGGGTTAAAGAAGGAACAATACATATATATCTAGAAGGGCATGAAAGTCTTCTAAATTCAGAAAGAAATAAAAGGATAAGGGCATGAGGAGGGTAAGAGGATAAGGGAAGGATCTTTGGTGGGGGCATAGGTTAAGTAATAGGAGGGCAAGGTAGTAAGTAGAAGTAAAATAGAGGAGTCAGGAACAATAGGAAACAGGAGATACACACAAACATAAAATAAAGATTAAAAGTAGAATTTATTAGGGAAAAAAGCAGGAGTAGAAATCATGATCTCAGACAAAGTTAAAGTTAAATTAGATTTAATCAAAAGAGAAAAAAAGAGAAATTACACTATATAATCAGCCATGTTAATCAATATTGTTTTAGAGACTATTTAAAATAACCAGTCAGTATAAGGTTGGAATATTGCTGTGGTATAGGAAATGATGAGTTGGTGGAATTAGAAAAAATATGAAAAGACCAGGATCAATGAAGGAAAACATTATTCACCCTCAGAGAAACAGAGAACAAACAACTATAGTATGGTCTTACATAGATGCATATGAATGTATATGTCTACTTGTGAGTGTGATTATAGATATCTAAGTATATGTATGTG